TACCTTATTGAAAAGTAAAGCTGCTTTTGATAAAGAACAGTGGGAAAAATACTACATAGTTTAAGCCATGTCACCAACAGGAGCAACCTGATAGAGACACATTTTCAACAAGTAATTACGAGTAGGGTAAGTAAAAAACAGAATTCTTAGGCTGTTCGCATAAATCAGGCGTGGATTTGTCGCATCGTCAACTGGAAGGCACTAGGTAAAGGCTGTGACCTTCGGAAACGTGTGCGTAGGACGCCTTTCGCATAAAACCACCAGGATCGTTCAATTGTTGATTGAATTCCAAGAACAGACAAAGGAAAGATCAAATAAAACCGAGCGACGAGGCAATGACTATCACACATAATATACTTTCACTTCACCATGGCAGTTCGCGTCACCACTTCCTCGTCAATCACAACTTCATACTATTAAGTTTGCACATCTGATGACGGTGGAATCCTGAAATCGAGAGTATCCAGCTGGGCTCTCCAGGCTTGGTACAGCACGAAGAACATTGCTCTAGTCACATCAGATGTTGTAAGAGCCAACGCAGATCTGCAAGACAAAAACGAGGAGGACACATTAGGCGTACAATAATGACTGTCTAACTTGACCAACAACCCATGGTACAAGACACGAAGATCATGGCCTCGCAGATTAAATAAACTACAAAGTCAAAATAGGGCCAGTTCTCACAGAACCGGCCAACTCCGGATTAACTGTTTGAAAATCTGACAGCGGCCGTTGCTGCAAAGGTGCACAAGGTGATGAGGCCGTCCACCACGTTACTTTACAGCGACATGAATTGACCAAGCGGTAGGCTGAAAGAGATGAATTAAGTGCTCTCCGATTTATCTAATGATCATAGTCCTGACTGAAGCGTGGCTATGGACCCCCTACACCACACTACAGGCGATTAAGTGAGCTTGCAAGGCATGAAACTCATCCGAAGTGTTAGCATACACCGGACTAGGGTAGGAGTGGCAATGTGCTAAGAGACATTTCAAAGCCAAAAGACTACGTGGCGAAAAAATGACTAAGGTTACAGTATTATGTTGATGTTGTTTCAACAAAAAAGGCACTAATGCTTGATTGGAGGGATTTACCGGCCCTTCTTAGGTACTAAGGTGCAGTAAGATAAATTGGCTGAGGCAGTACTGAGACTGCCACTCCTTGGGTTTGACCAAATACTCTTTCATAACTCCATCTCCAAATCTCAGCAAACACAGTGCAATTGCCAGGGGTTCGTTTCAAAGACAACTTGGAGCAACCATTATAAGATGTGTGATGACTAAGAATAAAGTTATTTTTACTCTTGCAGTTCGCCTTTAACTCGAATATTGCAGGTTCATACGCGTCCCACCCAGTACGGGACCAAAAACGATAATTATGGGAGAGAACGATTCTATTTTAATTAAAAAGGGATATACAGACAATTATCAAAAACAATATTACACCTTCGAGTTTCCAGTTACCGCAATAAGTTCCGTTGCTGGAAGAATAAGTGCTTCCAGTCAGTTACTGCTAGAGTATCAAATCCAAATATGGCTGTAGCCATAATAAATATCAAATTTAAACAACATATGTACAGTTTAGAATGAAACATAAAAACTTCAACATAAGTACAAGATATAGAAATAATAACAATATACGATGCTAAAATCTCAAAATGGAATCAAATAGAGTACCAAAATATCAACAGAAAGAGTCAGTCAAATCATAACGCAAATATATATACATGGAGGGATTTTCCAAAATGAAAACCTTCAAAATAGATGCTACACTTAGCATGAATGAAGTGCCACAAAATAGAATAAAGTTAGAAAGCACTAAAAGTTCGATTATTTGTTAACATGTGTTCAGCTCCTAGCCGTGTACGTTCATGTCCAAACACGAAAAAGGAAGTAGTGACTATGGTATAGTAATGTTTTTATGGCCATATACGAAATACTCAAGCAGGACGAACATAATTCCTACATTTGCGTAAGAAGACATCTTCCAGATGCTTCCTGGCAACGGAAATGGTGGAGGTTAACAGTAGATGATCACTGGTGAACAGAGAGTCTATCATTCAGAATGCTGCCCTAAGGCAATGTACGTCAGGCACATCACACACCTCAAAAGATAAGAAAGATTAGGAGAGACATTGGAGGCTTGCTACAAGTGGAGCGTCTCTCTGAGGGATTCTGACGGTAGTCCCTTCTTGGTATCAAGGAACAGATGAAATGTCAAGATTCAAAGTGACAGAAAACACTCCCAGAAAAAACCAGTCACCAACGTACAGACAAAATAAAAATGTCTGTTTTCGTTCGTAATTAAATGGATTTTAGTGTTCTAAAATGTCCAAAGAGTGGATATCATACTGACGTGGAGATGGCTGATATCTTGTAAACAAGGTTCACTCATCAGTGAAACCAGGTACTTACTACTACTACTACCACTAGTAATGCTACTACTACTAATGCTAATACTAATACTAATACTAGAACACAAACTTGTACCAATATTAGGGAAAATGCAACCTACTATTGACTTAGCACTCAAAAAACTAAAAAACGTGCGCCTGAGAAAGTCACCGAAATGTGGCAATATCTGACCTATATTCTTGTTACGTCCAATTTTTGCTCCAATGTACGACGAAAGAATCAAAAATGAAGAACCTTTGGACCCAAGTGTCCAAAAGTATCCAATGTATGACCAAAGATAAAATTGAAGAACTTTTGGACTCAAATGTCCAAAAGTATCCAACGACCAAAACTTAAAATTGAAGAACATTTTTGACGTCCAATTTTTTGCACCTTGCTCCTTAGAAGTATGGTGTGTTGATCTATCTGCAATTCACGAACCCAATACAAAGCAAAACCAAATTCCAAAGTAGGTACCAAAGTTTATTCTTAATTCACAATAATCGACCAAAATGTCGTTCGCTTATTACAAATAGACGACCAATGTCGTTCTAACAACAATAATTATAATAATTACAATTACCTTCAATGTTATAGGTTCCTGGAGCAAAAAACTGTCAACGAACAAACCAAGACAAACAGGAGTCCGAAAATGGCCGAAATAATAATTCAAACAAGTTCATAAGTTAAGTAAAACAAATATACCCAAAAAACACAGTGAAATTAATGATATTTATATAAAGGTTTCAATCAGCCAAATGTCTTCATTCCTCCCGTAACATTCTTGAGGCAGTGTGCAGAAACCATTTGTTAACGAGTATGTGACAAGTTCGTGCATTCACTTGAGTCACACCAACTACCAACTGAATGATAACGGGCCACTCTTTATTCATTCTTCAAATTAGGAGATGGGAAGGAACCAGTCTTTTGTAAACTAGTCACATTACTACCAGCGCTATCGAAGGTAATGGAAGGGCTGGCAAATGAACAAATGGAGGAGTACATGAATAGGAACAAAATCACCCATGAAGCTCAACAAGGGTTCGGAAAGGCAGGCTATGTGCATCCAATCTTATCGCATGGGACAGCTAGTCAATGTTATGTGACTGATAAACACCGTTGCACATATTTCTAGACTTTGAAAAGCCTTCGGCACCAAACCTCACGCACGTCAAATCGCAAAGCTCACGGAAATGGACTTCATTGACCGCTTCTATTTCGGCTCAGAAACTACCTTGAGAATAGAAGGTTTCGAACCAAGATAAATGGAAAGCATGCAAGTTGGCGAGTTTCAACATCGAGAGTTTTACGAAGACCACCTAAGATCCACTCCTCTTTCTGAAGTTAATTAATGATCTACTAGCTCTACGGCGTTGTGCTGAGCAGATGGTACAAACATCTGGAGGTCTATTAGAAGAGAAGAGGATTAAACTGAGCTCCGAATGACCTCACATCTATTGATGAATGGTCAGTAAAAGTTGGTTTAAAACTAAATCAGTCAAAATGTCACGTCATGTACATTCTGCACCACATGACGCAAATGATATACACCTTCAATGGAAGTCCGCTCCCTTATGTCTCCTCAGAGCGTGATCTCGGTTTAGAAACCTATGAAAGCCTCGAAACCAGCCCGAACTATGTAGGGTACAAGGATAAGTCTAACACATTTCTTCGCTTACATCTCGATCCTCTTGCACAATCTCACTATCAATTAATTAAGTTATTTATCTATTTATTTACTTCTGACATCTTATTATTCACAACACTGCAACTAACTAATCTCCAGCCTGGTAACTTGATACCTTCTGGTATCCAGAAACCGTACTGCCCTAAAACAAACATACTCACACAAGGCACAAGACACAAAAACTCACAAACAACTTTCAACTGACTAGAATTTATGTAGTCGGGTATCTCGACCCTCATCCACTGAAAAATACTAAACAACTGGAACCATACCACAAGAACAAGAATCAAGAGCGGAGAAATCAACTGGTCTATACTAGCTCTGGAAAAAGTTATTGGATGGACATAAGATATTGGACATTACATCGTTACCATGGTGATAGCCATCGTGGATTCAAAGTTTGTTTTACGTGGTTCATATAACTGTCAAACTCATCGGTACTTGAGTGCAGCGAACTATCTCTTCAGAAATTTACACTTAATGACAAAATGTTTGCAGGTAAATGTGGATAAGGTATATTTTACAAATTCGTGTGATTCACTGTCTAAGTGAATGTAATAAACACTAAATATTATTTGTTGCTATTCAACCTATGATCTAAACAAATCGTTCTAACGTTTAGTGGTGTATAACTCACATTCATATTCAATAGACCCAGTCTGAAGCGTTTTTCTTCCATCGGCTTTCATTTGACAGTTAATAGGATATCTAGTTTGTATATAGTGATTACTATAGACTACATACATGTTGTTTATAACTTCAAAGTTCACTTTGTCCAGTATTAACTTGTTTTCATACTGCTTTCGATTTCAGACTTTTGTTGGAAGTCATTGAAAATTCCTACGATACAGCGTAAATGTCAAGTGAATGGAGGTGAAATATAAACGCGGAAATCCCAGTTTTTCCGCCTGTATATAACTATGGCCAAAAAAAAACCTGCACCCGAGGAGGAGGAAGTTGTAAAAAATAATGAGGGGCTTTTACGAGAAGAGTATTGATTTATTATTGGTCTTTTTTATACACTCATGCCTTAAAATTAGGTACTTTGTACTAAATAATGAGATCGAAACACTTTTCAAAGAAATATCGGACATGTGAGTTTACGTTTTACCCAAAAGTGATAAATATTAGGCAAAATGAATTATGGCTTGCTGAACAGTCTATCCGAGAACAAAAAATTAAAAATGTAATTTTTGTTTAATCTCTTTTCCCTTATATATTTTAAAATAGAATGTATATAGTTCGTATTCAGAGAAGAAGAATTCAAAGCGTTTAAAAAACACAATAACGTTAAAAGATTATTATTTGTTCAACTTAAATGAATTAAAGAGGGAGAGAGACGAAATGTTAGCCATGTATGCTAGAATAAAGGATGGTGCGTCTAATTGTTTCATTATTATGTACTGTAGAATTACAAGATGTTTTACTTCAGGAAAAAAATCTGCTGGAACAGACCAAAAAAGAGTTAGAATCAACAGCAGACATTCAAGTAAGATTTTAAATTTTACTGTTATTACTAATGTTGTTCTGTAGGAATAGAACTGTTTGCTGATTCTTAACTGTTGAACTGTAGCAGTAAGTCACTCAGTTATTGACAACCCAAAACGTTACATATATGTGCATCAGCTATAATTGTGACATTAAATTAACTAAACAAGAGGCAGGATTAGTAGTAATATAAATATTAACAATAAAAAATATCCAATTGAACAACTGAAGTTGACTTATAAGAAACATGAAGTTATAGAAATGTCCGAGACTATATTGTATCCATTTTCTTCACAACGGCTATTTTTAGAATTGCTACTTATGGATTACAACTAGACAATTTCATCTTTATCTTTACTCTAACCAAGTACCGTCCACTTTCACATCTCACTCAGACCATCAGTTAGTGAGTCCGTAGACCAATGCAATATCCTGATATGGCAAACGTCTATTTTCTTTGAATTATGCATACAGTGTTGTATGTCAAGACTGCTGATAACATAGGACATATAACTTTATAACTTGCATAATTGTTTAATTTAAAATATGTGAGATATAAGACCATTTTACCTGATATTGAGTTATATATGGATGAGTAGCTGGTATGAAACGAAACTTAAGGCAATACGTAACAAGAAATGTGTTCTGCCTTTAGTAGAGACACATCTGGTGGTTTACTATCATGTCATATAAAATCCTGAACCTGATAAATGCAGATCAATTCAAGTTTTCACATCATATATGTGCAAAGAGAAGTTACCAATAGGAATAAATTTCTATGGCTTAACTGTGCGTCACAGCAACGATAAGGTATAAAGGCCTAGGAATAACCCTTTTTATACTGTTTCAGAGCTTCAACATTATTTAGTCGTATTTCCTTGATTAAAATAATCTACTTCAAATCCCTCATCATCGAAACAAGGAAAATCGTTTTTTTTTGGATATTTCCTTCTTTTGAAGTACTTACTTACTTACTTACTTACTCCTGTTACCCCCAATGGAGCATAGGCCGCCCACCAGTTCCCTCCAACCAACTCTGTCCTGGGTTTCCCTTTCCAGTTCTGTCCAATGTTTGTTCATTCCTCTCATATCTTTTTCTTTTGAAGTACCCACAAATAAATAAATCAACGGCGTGGGCACTTGCGTCTTATAGGCCTAGATGCCAACATACATTTAAACTTCTAATAGCTATGAGAGATGGATTGAAAATTTCTTTCTTTGGATACGTTTTCACAACTTAGTAGAAATCCGAGCCTGAAATCTTTTCACGCCAGATGTCAGTTATACTCTACAAAAAATGATCAGTGTAATTTGTCGTTTAATAAGTTCTATTTCAAATGTTTGAAGCTGTTGCAGAGTTTGGTTTTATTAAGGTCTGTCTCTACTAAGAAACTAATACACTTACATTGTTATCTAATTATAATTTTAAAAGTTACTCATCAAGTTGTTTGGTGCGGCTGATCACTATTTGTCCCTGAATATTATGTTTAATTTCTGTGATAACAATGAGTTCATGCTTCATAAAATGTGCTGAACGTTATACTACATATTCTAACTGTATTTTCATGAAAATTCCATATCGGAATTATTAGCCCCAGTGCCCAAATTAAGATATCTGAAGATGAAATAAATTCTAGAATTGTTATTAACTATCTAAAATAAAATCTCGCTTTACTAATGCCAAATTTCTGATCTTGTTTGATCCTGATCGCTTTAAACATGGATATCTGTTTATATATAGTTACTAGTTATTTCTAATTCTCCTTAGCTTCTTAGCCGAAAAACCAAAACGGTCTTGTCAGCTTGAAAAACCATCTTAACATCACAGAGCAAATATCAACAATAAGCTGCATATGCATCCATTTAAGGATTCTCGAAAACAATTTGACTTTCATTCCGGTTTTCACTGGTATGCATTAATCAGAATATAAAAATTTATTTAGTTATATAGTTCATAAACATTTTTTGTTCAAGTTATGTCTCATTTTATTTTGAATTAGTTAATTCGTCAAACACAAGAAGCAGAAATTAAACGTCTGGAACAAGAAATTAAAAATGCACGCAACTGTCAATCAATAAAACTTCAAGAACTTAAAGATATATCTACCGAGAGACAGATGGAATTAGAAAAAGAAGCTAAGATAATCTTAGATGGTGTAACAAAAGAAAGTCAAAAGGTATTTTAGTGTTTTCTTATAGTTTATCTTTGTGACGAGCTGGTATAAACCAATTGCTATGTTTTCTTACTGCCGAAAGACGGTTTTTTTATTTTTGGAGGCCTCTATTAAAGCCATTTCTAATAATTTTGATGGGTATTCAAAAGTTGGTGTGGTGACAGTACAGCATACTGACAGCCTTGAGTTAACCAACGAGAAGCGAGGTAATACCGCATCTATTTTGCGCGTAATTTAAAGTACAGTAATAAGTAACTTGCATATTATTGCTAACTAAGTGAAAATTGGTAATATTCGTTCCTTAAAATGCTTAAAATCAAAGCCGAAAACTGAATTTGATGTGGTGCTTAAGCTAACTTATAAAACAGACACGCTTTTAAAAGAGATTTTGTGTTAAAATACTTGACATGGTTCAATGCATAGTCAGTAGTGTTTAATGAGACCATATAGTGTTCTCAGACCATAGCTACAGCTTAACCCTTGTTGTCTAACCCTAGCCATTTTTCAATACAGCTCATGTCAGCTTATGACAGATAGTTTATGTAATGACATAGGTACTTCTAGTTAGACTTCTGGTATGTGAGCTTAGCATTTTGCGTTGACTTTAATTTGACATATGAGAGTTTATTACTCACCTCGAAGCTATTATCTCACTGTTATTTTATTTCTTCATGTTTTTAGTTGTTTCATAACCAAGCAGTGTCCCCTGATTGGCTGATAGATTGGTAACTAAAGGTCGTCGGTGCATTATGATTTTACTGCTGATGTTATTCTAAGCATAGATAACCGAGCTTGTTCCTAGTCATTTGAGGGTGGCTAGGATCGATAGCCTCTTTGTTACCGTGTAGTTATCTGGTTGTTTGCACTTGGATCTCCTCATGGGAGAAAGTTGTAAATGGAAAAGAAAAGATATGTGATAAAGTTGGAGTACACAATTGACGCTGCAAATGTCTAAGTAAAATAGGACAGTTAAGGACAGTGAGAAAAAGGAAAGGAATCATACATTGACAACGCAAATCTGATGTATGGCTAGATTTTTGTACTGCCTATTCACCTGTAGTTCCACGTAGAAGACGTTTAATTAGTTCTGCTCTCCAGACAAACTTACTGCACAGCAAGTATTAGATGAGATACTATGGAATATTTGGTATTTTGTTTTGCGTTTATGATTACTGATAAACTTGATCATTATTCCACAAGCAAAAAAACAAAGTGAATTTCTCGATGGATGATTTTTACTAAATGTAAATAACAATGGCGAAATTTAAAATATCTATCTATAATCGTATTTTTTAATAGTCTTTAGATTCTTCATGTACCCAGCTAACAACCTTCAATTTCCTTAGGAACATGGGATGATTTTTTCTGACGAGTGTTCATTAACACTTGTCTACGCAAAATACTTAAGATCCGTTACTATGGCCGTTAAGAGTAGATGTTCGTAGCTTAATAGTATTCGATCATAGATGTCTGAGAAACATTGCTCGTATATCGTGGGAAAACCGAATAAGCAATGTTGTTGTTAGGAAACGAGTACTAGGTAAGGATGGCAGATCAATAGATGAAGTATTGAAACTTCATCAGTTGAGGTGGTTGGGACATGTGTTACGAATGCCTAACCACCGACTGCCTCGACGAGCTGTGTTTTGTGGTGTAGGAGTAGGTTGGAAGAAAGCTAGGGGCCGCCAGACCAAAACATGGCAGAAATCCATGAAGTCACTGACAAGTGGACTGAGTGATGTTGGTAGATGTAGGATATCTGGTTGGGGTTCGCGAGACCTTGAACGACATGGCTCAGAATCGTTTGAAATGGCGCAGGTGCATCCACTCTTTATGTTCTCTCAAATTCTAACCTTCTGAATTCCTCATAATCTCTATCTTCCTCCTCCTAAATTTATCTCACTGAATTATACTTTTCGAATCATATCTTTACTCTCTAATGTCCTCCATTGCTGCTAATAATTCTACTATCGCTATCACTCTTGGATTTGAACTGACAGTTACGTCTCTGTACTGACCTGGTATGGCGACCTGAACTGATGTACTTACGTACGAAGTTCTGCGTTGTATCTGTCTGATCTGTTCTGACGTGTTAAGAAAAGAATGTCCGGTAAGCAAACATACAAGAAACTAGTTAGTACATAAGATTTTAAAAAAGTTTTCGAAACTCGTAATCTCTTTTCGTGGGCTAAATGTGTTATAATTTTTATCAAGGACTAGCATTGTGTAACATCTGAGCTAATAGGAATATATATATATATATATCGTTTTGAATAAAATAACGAGTTTAATCCAGCTAGACAGTCTCAGATGACCTATTTTAAGATCTACATTTTCACCGCTCGCTACCTCAGATCATTAGATGTTAGCTCTAGCTTCATCAGTATTTAAGCAGTCACTGCCTGTTATGATGGCAGGAATCACACATGCATGTCAGTCGATGTTATTGCTTATTAAAGTTCCATACTTTAATAATTCATGCTGCCTTTATTAGACACATTGTAAAAATATATAATGACTCTTTGCACCGCTTGATACATATTTAAACAGTTGTTTCGGTCTCAAACACTCTTTACATTGGATTTGTTCTATCATTAAATTACGAGTTTGAACAACCGATTTCTTCTTTTTAAATTTGTCAACAAATCACTGGTTACGAAATCTATCTCAGATGTCAGCCAGTATATACACCTTTTATTTAGAATGCTATCCGAAATATCATAGAAACCTAATATGTATACTTCAGATTCAGTGTGATTATGCTGCGCTTTTCACTGTTAAATACTATTCTCTTGAATATATATTCGCAGAGTATTTATCACACTTTAAGCCTTCATATACTGTTTTCTCAGGGAATGTCTATCACTTTTTTTTCGAAATTTAATCCGTTTCACCTTCACACGGCATCAAATGATCGCATTACTGTATACCCTGTACTTTTTTATTTATGAGTCCTTAACCGTCCATATTCAAATAATTCCGAATAATTACCATACTCATAAATCTTTCACTAAACATCCTGTCATATATGCAATCACAGCTTGAAACCTAAATAGAATCATTATGTAATCTGATTGATTGACAGGACCAAAACTGGAAAATCGTTCAGTATAATATTCATTTTCTAGATTTTTATTTAAATAAAACTAAATATTATTCAGTCAAAGTATATAAATCTGAATGTTAGTCTAGCAACTTTTTGAAAGCCGATAAAGATTAGTGTGTAGTGTGTCGACTTTGCTTCGTAATTAGCTCGTCCAGACAATCGTTACTAACTGGCAGCGTCTGACGGTTATAAATCAGAAGGTGAACTCGTAGTGTTGAATACGTTTATTTGGGACGAACCACAAAGCGAAGCGGAGAAGTAATGTGGAGAAGGCTAATGAGCCAACTCAAAGAGATAGAGCATGAATAAGAATATATAGTCAGATAAATATAAGACAGACATGTGATCAACGAGATAGGCATGAGCACACATGAATAAAAGCGACGAATGGTTGACAAGGTCAAATGACAAATGGGACAATTCACATGAGCTCATACAAACCAGACAATAATTTAGAACGAATGGTTCATATAAATTGTTGCAAGACAAATGGCTTGCTTAAATAAATTAATCGAAAGGGCTTAACCAAGTTAGATGCAAGCGGACTGGAATATATCTGGAGGCACTATAAGTATATGTACATGTCATTTTGATTTATTCTGAGGGTCAAATAAACCTTGATCACTAGTCTAGTTTTTACTACTCGTCATTGGATTTGAGATCCCAATATTAGGTCATAACCCAGTTCAATATATGCGAAAGTAAGTGTCAGAAATAGCACTAATGACGAGAATGAAACATGAACTTACCCAGAGTAACCTCAATTGATTAGTGAAGCATTCAGTAGATATGTAATACTAAAAACTATGTCAATCAGTATCTTTTGTTATCAACGAACGTAATATTTAAGTTTCCGCTGTAATAAACTGGATAACTATGATTATATGTGATAACTTAAGTAAGCGTCTTCGAATTTAGCATAGTTAATGACTGCTAAAACATTCAGTTTTAATCTTTTCCAAATGAAGTGATTTTTTACTCATCCTTTTTGATCATTTTTAATTATTACAGATTTTAAACAAGCTGGTCGTTGAATATGTCAATAAGATATGTAAAGAAAATGGAGAATTGCATAAAGATGTACTAAAAAAATTAGAATTAATCAAAGCTATGGAGATAGAAAAATCAAACTTAGAGAAACAAAATGAGTTGATCAGGCGTAAACAAATGTTTGCTTATGTGAGATTATGCTTTTTTGGTATATTTTATACTACTATTTAATTGAAAAAGTAGTGTAAATCTTTTATAAAAATAAATTGATATAACCAGGAGATTGATGTAACGGAACCTTAACAATTCAACAAATCAGTTTAGTATTTTCATAAATTAAGTTGACTACTGTGTACAAATGTCATAAAAGTAAATTTTTCAAAGATGACTAGAATAAGACAAAAAGGAATATAAATCACGTGTTTTCAGATTTCACCGAAATATGACAATCAATAAATGAGATTAGATCATAGAAATGTTTCTTAAGTTATATTGTTTCCAGGTACCAAGGATTAATATTTACTGACCTAGCTAGATTGTCATCGGTTCCACGCATAAATTAGGGTTGCATTTCAGCACGCTGAGGAACTTAGCATCCTCATTCTAACATGAAACGGCTGACGCATACATTCATCTGATGAAATTTGGTTCTACTTGTAAACGTTTCTAAATCCGAAATGATAGTTACTCCAGATAGTTTGTGTTAGGATATTCATCCAATATCCTAAGAGAATTATTGGTCAATTCCTATTGGTGAATTCGTACTGGTCAATTTTATGGTCATCCTAGATATCAATGTCACGTGCTCCGATGTTATTTCTTATTGGTTGTCCTGACTATCAATATCACTTCAAATGTTACTTCCTATTGGTCGTCTGAACTGTCAATGTCACAGACTCTGATGCTGTTTCCTATTCGACCAAAATGTATAAATACGCATTATCTGTAACGTTTTATGACCAGAACCCGGTCCCGGATCCCTAGTCCGGGATCCTGATTCTCTTCAGGATTCGGACCTCGTACTTTCTAGATGCTTGTGGAATACACGTTCTACTTCATATCATGTCTTCTTATTTTCACTCAATATGGGGATTGGGATAATCGGATTTGAGTAGCATGACGTGTCACCGGATCCTCGATCCTAGCTCTTGTTTTCCGACTAGGTAAACTCGTAATAAATAGTTCAAGTATATCAAGTTGACGTGTTTACGTGCAGGCAGGCGTAACAATTTGTCACATGATCGAACTTCACTGCCTAATTGTTTCCAATTTCTTATTTTACTTTTGTTTATAGGATCTGGGGTATGCTGAACATAAACGTCGTGAAGGTTTAGCACAAATCATCAGTTAATCATATCTCTCAGAGAATAAACACACAAAATATCAAATGGGCATTAATTAATTATTATTAAAAAGACGAGTTTGATTGAACTGATGTTTTCATTTTATTCTAATGAAAAAAAGATTGTGATTACTGTCATTCATTTCTGTTATTTGTTATTCAATGTACACAGACATACTAAAAGTTAAGAGATGCTTGAATTTCAATAGATCGATATTAGTCATTCATTTCATGCAAAGTTCATATTTTTTCTGTTACCGATTTTAGTTACTTATAATTTATTAGTAGGAAGTTCGAATAGTTTTAAATCGACAGGCATTACGATACATTAAAAAAAATTAAATCCACAATGAATTAATAAAAAAAATCCATTCAATGTTAAGTTTTACATTACAGGCGTATTGATTAGTGTTTTGCAGATGTGTAATAATCTTTGGGAATTCCGTTATACAATATCACTTATGGTTATTGTAATGACTATGTTGTACAACAGTACAGACTGACTAAAAACATACTACCTTTTTAGTCCTTAATCTTTAACATAACTACATTTCAATAGATCTCAATGATCATTTTGTCAGTCAGTGGCAACGTAGAACTTCGTACGTAAGTACATCAGTTCATGTTGTTATACCACATTAGCATGGAGACGCAAATGTCAGATCCAATCCCGTAGTAATAAAGATAGTAGAGGTATTAATGGTAATGAAGAAGACTGGGTTCGAAGACATTATTCAAGAAGTATAATTCAGTGAGATAAGGTTAGAAAGACAAAGGTAGAGGTGCTGACGAATCCAGAAGATTAGGATTTGAGAGAGCTCAAAGAGTGGATGCACCTGCGCCATTGCAAACGATTCCTGGCCATGTCGTTCAAGGTCTCTAACCATTAGAGACTTTCCTCTCGCGGACACCAACCAGGTAGACTACATCTACCATCATGACTCAGTTCACTTGTCAGTGATTTCATGGATTTCTGCCATGTTTCGGTTTGGCCGCCCCTAACTTTCTTCCAACTTACTGCTACACCACAAAACATAACTCGTCGAGGTAGTGGGTGGTTAGGCATTCGTAACACATGTCCCAACCACCTCAACTGATGAAGTTTCAATACTTCATCTATTTATCTGCCATCCTTACCTAGTACTCGTTTCCTAACGACAGCATTGCTTACTCGGTTTTCCCACGATATACGAGCAATGTTTCTCAGACATCTATGATCGAATACTAGTAACCTACGAACATCTACTTTTAACGGCCATGTTTCACAGCCATATAGGAGAACGGAGCGAACTGCTGCGCAATACACTCGTCCTTTGGTTAGCGAACGGATATCACGCCTACGCCACAAGTGACAGGTGTGCAAAAGCCAATCGAGCTTTCTGTATCCGCGTTGAGATTTCGTCAGTCACCAGGCTATCAGCGCTGATGAGACTCCCTCATCATTCTGTAATAAATATTTTATAATATAATAGCTAAAGAAATTACATATTGAATGTTGAAATATACCTGGAAAATAATAGTGATTTGTTTGTGATATTGTGTAAAGCACTAATTAACCGAGATGTAACATCTTCTTGTGTGTAACTTTTTAATGAAGATAGTTGCTTCCAAATAAAATTAGATTTCACTTCTAATTATGTGATCTTCCAAATATATTGAGCGGTTGTTCATCATGGTTTAGTTGGTATTTATGTCTGAATGCACAAGCTATGTTTTGCGGTGTAGGAATAGCTTGAACAAAGAAGCTAGGAGCGGTCAGACCAAAACATGGCACAAATCCATGAAGTCACTGACAAGTGGACTGAATCATGTCGCTAGATGTCGACTACCTCGTTGGGGTTGGCGAGATGTTAATAATCGATGGTTATCGACCGTGAATGACATGGCTCAAAACCGTTTGCAATGGCGCAGGTGCATTTACTCTTTGTGTTCTCCCAAATTATAAAATATGATAACTAAAGTTTTATCAAAAGAGTAGGTCAAACGTGGATGAATAGACTTCATTCAAATAATCATTAAAAAACATCAAAACCATTACGTAATAAGCAAATGTGTAGAAATAAAAATAAAGTAAAAAATATAATGTCAATTGTTAGTTACGTCATATCCGGCCACAGAAGAGATAGGGGTGTCACGAATTTCATCTGAACACATAAATTGGGGTTGAATGTACATAATTTTAGACAAGAGACTCTTTTTACATAAACTCATTAAATGTAGATAGCGATAATGGTTAGCAGTGCAATCGCCAACCAAATGTACTGACAACAAACGGTCCCACAGTGAACATCGGATACTGGGCGCATCAATTGATTAACAAACGAGGCTGTTCCATGTGCAGTCTTAAAGACACTTTTTTTCGCAAGCTTCAAACAACTAATGCAAAACTGAATTAAACTTATTCTCTGTTTTTTCATTGTTTTTTTGAAAATATTCTAATCAATTAAATTATCGGAATTCATCATGTTGAATTCATTAAAACAATTCGAATTTTAAATTTTAAAAAACGAAATTCATTAGTTAATGTTCGCGCTATTTTAAACCATTTGCATTTATATATATCTATATATGTTTATGTCTATTTTTATCGTCTGCCATTTTTTTTTAATAATAAAAGTCAAAACACCATAGGAATGAATTATTCATTAGTCAATTTTTTGTTTCACATAAATAAATTTGTCCTTTGATATTTTGAAAAATGTTTGATTGGCATAGTGTATTTATTCTTTTTTTTTTCTTTCAGGGTAAGTTTATGATTTAAGAATAAATGAAGCGCTTTCTCTGTATCTTTTAAAATTGAAATCAGCGGTATTGTTGTTGTTGTTGTTTTTGTTGTTTAAAACAAATTGATTATGTAAACAGCGCGAGTTAAGCACAGAGAAGAAGCGGGAATAACAAATTAACGCATTGAAATTAATTAATTAATTAATTGAAGTTGCAGTCATAACGTGTTCATTTAGTAATAAATAAATTGATTTGCGTATTCAACAAAATTCGGAATAGAAATTCATGTTAACTAGTAAAGTTAATTTGTTTATGACCTTTGAATACAGACAACATGTGACTGGAGAATTTAAAAATTCTATGGTTCATACAAGGGAGGGTTTGAAATATTCAAGGCACTAAACTGTAATTTAAAAACTATCCCTGAATATTTCAATTAGTTAATTAGTTAATAGCATTATAAAAAAGAGTTAATTTTTATCGCTTGTTATTAGTAAAATGTTTTGCAGAAATCTGAAATACGTTTTGTTATGCTCGTCAGATTGATATACTTGAAACTATTATGGGTTCACCATAGTCGATCAACGAGAACGAGATAATGAACCAGCGTCCCGGTAGGCCACTCTGATCAGTTGACCCAAATGTACTAACAAGAAGTCTTGATATAGCGTAGAAAGTATATTCTACAAACACCCAACAAGCATAATGATCTCAAGCACACAAATCGCGTTTATCTATACATCATAGAGGCGTCCTTGGGAGAGTCATAAAAGTAGCACACTAAAACAAGGATTTTCCTGGTGGGAAATGTAATCTGAAGGTCAACTGATCAGCCCACGGATAAAATCCAAAATAAAGACATTTATCAAGCGAGTTGTAGGGATCTAACGTCCCCAACACTCTTAATGTGTAGACTCACCCGATGGAAGATTTTTCAGTGTGCTTACAACTGCTAGAGGAAACCATAGACTTTTAGTTGGTTTTTATCTAAATATTTTTATATATTTAAAAGTGACAAATAAAACCAACAAAATTTTCAAATAAGAAAGATTTTCTTCTGGTAATTTAGTATAAATTTGATATTTTATCATACGTAGATTAGGTCATTTTTTATTTGAATAAAATGCTGATATGTTCTGATTGGTTTCATCAATTGCTCTTCCCCTCACAGAGTTGTCGACTGCTAAAACTCAACGGCATTTAATTGAAAAGGGCTACGAACTAACTAAATTGAAGAATAAAAATGCCTGCATATATACAAAATGAATTATAAATTTTGTATTGGCTTGTCTGATAATCAGTGGGAAAACAATGAATAAAATCAATATCATGTCAATCGACAACCGTGTATATTGTTAGCCTATCTATCATATCACCCTTTAAACTAAACTAGTGTAGGTATGTTTGATATTTCGGTTTGCTCGTTTATATATACATATGATTAACTATCAAGATAAGATACATCAAGCAAGGAAGTGTCACTGTTTACGATCAAACCTGCTTGAATATTTGTGTGAACTGTGTAGGTATCAGGAATTAACCGAGCAATTCTGAGTAACTGCATGTACTCATGAGGATTTATGGGACGACTTACAAATTATAAGAATGATAATTAACAGTAAAATCGCTCGGTCCGTTGACATTGTTCCTGTTGCGTAAACGCAAAACAGCTATATTCTGATATATGCATTCCGTAGTGGATGCCGGCCCAGTAGTCCGATGGTTAGGCGTTTGCGTACAATACCGAAGGTCCCGGGTCCGAATCCTGTGAGGTGCAGGAGTCGTGGATGTGCACTGCTGATGAGTCTCATAAAAGGACGAAACGGCCGTCTTCTAGTGCTTCCATGTTTCTAATGGTGGTCTAACAATTATTGACTGATTGATGATTTCAAATGTGTAAAAACACAAACCTCCAAAGCTCTGCCTGAAAAAATGTAATTGTAATAAGTTCGCCAGTTTGTAAACTTCGTGAATGATGACAAGCGCCAAATTTTGGTTATTAAAATATATTTCCTACTGTCACGAAATTCATAATAATAATCCCAACCAATTCATTGCATTATTCGATGATGTGTAAAATCACAAACCTCCAAAGCTTTGCCCGAAAATATCGTAACAATGCTCACTAGTGACTAGCTTTTGAAAATACGTGACCAATGGAGTTCAACCCTTTCGGGTGTAGGCAGTAACTACCAAAGAAAAATGGGTGAGGTCGCACAAAATCCGTAGATCAATCAGAGTTAGACATTAACACCACTGGATGCCGGCCCAGTGGTCCAATGGTTAGGCGTTCGCGCACAATACCGAAGGTCCAGGGTTCGAATCCTGCAAGGTGCAGTGCGAGGATTCTCACTGCCACTGATGAGTCCCACACCAGGACGAAACGGCCGTCTATTGC